GTGGGATCATCCTGACAGGAAACAAAGTAAAAGGCTGGTAACATCCAAAGAAGAGCTTTCAATGACCTTCAGTAAGCCTGGAGAACTATTCCTGCAGATGAAGGAAATGACAAGAAAGCCTGCCTAAGAGTGATGAGGCTGTGTTAAAGAATGAAGGTGGTCATACCAAATACTGCCGTTCAAGCGGTTTCTCTCTAAATGTGGCACTAAATCCACCATCTGGAAGAGATTCTAGGTGTGCTGAAGTTTGCCATTCACCTTTTCTCATGTTGTACAGTAAAACCAAAATATTTAATTAGTTGACATATGCATGGTAATCACAGCAGGTTTCTTCTGGCAGTCTTGGAGAAACTTCACGATTGGGTTTAATACATGTGTCACTGACTTGGTCAGCTGTTCAGTTCATGCTGTTTGTTGCCAGCACTCGGTGGCGCAGGCCCGGCTCAGCCATAGAAACCGAATGCTTTTCAGCGCAGCTGCAGTGTTTACACCCTGGGCTCGTGTCCTCTGGAGCATGCTTATATTTAGTGAAGGATGGCTGCTCTCAGCTACAGTCTCCGCCTCGGTGCTTCATACACCTCTCAGCAGCAAGCGCGTGAATCATGCAAAAGTCCTGTGTGATCCGGTTTGCAGCGCCGGATCAGAAACAGACAGGAGGAGAGATTTGTTATGGTGGCATCTCTAATCACAGACTTGATTAGTACCACAGGAAGGAAAGAATGGCTTGTCATTGCTCTCCTGAAAACATGCAGAAGAAAGAGAAAGATGGTTGCCCCTGACAGCAGCAGCAGTATCTTTTTTTGTTGTTGTTTTTGTTTTCCCCCTCTCCTAACCACAGTGTTTGCAAGCCATGCATGCATTATCCTGATTATCCTACACCCCCCGAGTCCTATCCCTGAGTTGCATAAAATATGAAGCTGTCCTGATATTTCTCTCTTTCGTCCTTCTCCAGGCATCCTGTTTGTGCGGCTCGGCCTCCTGCCTGCTGTCATCATGTTGCCCTTCCACATACAACTCCACCATCAGCCGGCTGGCCTTCTCCTTCCTGCTGCTGCTGGGCACGCTGGTGTCCATCATCATGATTCTGCCAGGCATGGAGGAAAATCTTAAAAAGGTTGAATGAGATTTAATGGCTATGAACACAGTTTATTAACCGCTGTAATCCATCAACACAGATATTTCAAAGTGACCTAACTGGATGTTTGAATTGGGTTATTTTATCCCAGAGCTTCCTGATGAATCTAGATGAATCAGTTGTACCCCACCGTTGCCCTTTCACCCTTTAATTTCCTATTTGCGTTCACGTCAGATTCCAGGGTTCTGCGTCGGCGGTTCGAGCATATTTGGGACAGAGAACAAGGTGAACTGTGACATCATCGTGGGCTACAAGTCTGTGTACCGCATGTGCTTTGCCATGGCCTGCTTCTTCTTCCTCTTCTCCATCATCATGATCCGAGTGCGCAGCAGCAAGGATCCCCGAGCAGCCATCCAGAACGGGTTAGTGCTGCAGCTTTGTTTTCTCTGCTCCACGTTGCCACAGCATGCTGCACTCTGGTGGCCAAACATGGACACTGCACCTTTTAAGAATGCGTTTACGCAAACACTGATAAACCGGTTTGCTGTGTACATAGATGGAATAACATTGATTTTTTTTTCCCTCAGTTTCTGGTTCTTCAAGTTTCTGGTGCTGGTTGGTATAACTGTGGGAGCGTTCTTCATTCCAGATGGAGACTTTAATACAGGTATGGTTTTAGCCACAGTGAGGACAGTTCTGATAA